TTTTTGAGACAGGGGCTCCCTGTAGCCCCAGCTGGCCTGGAACTCACAGAGATCCGCTTGCCTCTGCTTCCCAAGTGCTGGGATTAAAGGCATGTGCCACCACGCCCAGCCTTCTTTGATCTTTTAAATAATTTTTCTATTTGTGAATATAAGATATGAAAACCTAGACTCCAGGGAAAAGGGAAATACCTGAATTCTTCTGGGGATTTTCTTATATTAAATATCAGTGGTTTTATTATTTATTATGTTATTGGAAGAGTATTCTTGCAAGCTAAAGGATGTGATGTTTGTGCAAATAGTATAAGCTATTCAAATTGATCCAGAGACTGAGAATCTACTGACCTAGATCTTTAATGCTTTTTATTTTGAAGTAAAAATGAAAAAAAAAAAAAAACAGGATTATTTCCCCATGTACTTTAAAATTTTACATTTCTATTTATTAATTTGACTTGTTAAATTCAACTCTCTTGGTCTATATTATCCTACAAATTGGCTCCTTTTTTTCTCATTATGACATTATTTCTGTTTTATGGTGGGGTGAATATATTTGTTTCTTAGTTTAATGATAATCTATTCAGAATCTCCCCTTATTCCCAACCCTAAGTAGGTATTGTAGTCTTTTGTACATGGATGATTTTATTCAGTAAACATTTATTTAATGTTAGCCATGTGCTATTCACTCTTAATTCAAACTAGGAGTTTTCCTAGGCACATCTCTGTCTTGACTTACGGCTTTCAGTGTATCACTGATTGTCATCCTTTTTGCTTCCAGAATGTATCTTGAATCTGTTCACGTCTTTACCACCCTAAATGAGATCATAGTCATTTTCTACATTGCTTCTATGTTGCTTCTTAACTTGTTTTCCAGAATTACGATTTCCTTCCTCTGATATTGTCTTCTGTCAGCCATGAGAGATCTTTTGAAAATGGAGATTTGATCGCATAATTCTTATACCTTTTTGCAAGTACTTTATTACTCTTAAAGAACAAAATCTTACTATGTTTTTGATGTGGTTTATGATGTAGGGCTTGCTGTAATCCACCTGTCTCTATTTGGCGCACTGTAAAACATTTTTCTCTCTTTTAAACTGCTTTCATTCCTTAAATATTACCATTATTCCCCATACTTTATGCTTTTTTCTGTCTAGAACAGTGCTATGTGCCATCCTGCCTCTGTCCCTTAGATTGATGTAAAATATCACTTCCTTAACAAGCTCTTCCCAGGCTGGCACTCCTAACTCCCCAAATCTCAATTAGTGTCTCTGACAATGATCTCAAAGCATCCTGTGTCTCTCTTTCCTTCAAAGTACTCAGCACAACTTACCACATCTGTCTGTGGTTATGAGGTTAGTGTCACTCTCTTGTTCTTCCTGGGAAGGGAGAGACTTTGTATGTTTTGTTCTCTGCTGTATTTCTAGCACCCAGCACAGTGCTTAGTTTTTAGCAGGTGTTCAGGAATCAATTGTTGAATAAATTATTATAGTGTTTAACAAAAAAAGTTGTGCTAATTCTGTGCTAGTCAAATACCAGGTTTACAGTGTTGCCAAATTACAGTGTTAAGACTTTATAATTAAAATTCTTCTGACAAGTAGGTATATTTTTAGCATTTTAACTTATGACCAACCTGTATCACCTAAATTAAAAGAATATAAATTACCTGCTAATTAGTAAGTATATTTTAAAATGTTTTCTCTTTTCTCCTATAGCGACGAGGTCCTCAGAGATCAGTTGATGTAATTGTTTCATCTGCTTTCTTATTGACGATCTCAGTTGTATTTATCTGCTGTGCTCAGGTGAGTTAGCTTGCTCTAAGTATAAATGAAGTCATCAATAGATAAATACCAAGGTTCTTTACTTATTTTTTAAAATAGCGTACAAGATATCAGATACCATTGTGGCATTTTTCAATAGAGTGTATTTTAGTAAATCGCCCCATCTCCTTCCCCCTTGCCATTACTAATCATCACCACCCCTTGCAACCTCCCTCCCCATCTCTGTTCCGCTTTCACGTCCTACAGGTCCTTTCGCCCCCAACCATCTTCCCCCTGTCCTCATTAACTTTGTGTGTGTGTGTATGTGTGTGTGTGTGTGTGTGTGTGTGTGTGTGTGTGTGTGTTTGAGACAGGGTCTCCTTGTAGCCCCAGCTGTCCTGGAACTCACTATGTGGACCAGGCTGGCCTCAAACTCACAAAGATCCACCTGCCTCTGCCTTCCAAGTGCTGGGATTAAAGGCATGCACCACCACACCTGGCCCTCATTAACTATTTTTAGCCTCTCTTGATCTCCTGTGTTTTTTTTAGGTTTTACTCCCTCCCACCTCACACACATACATGTATACAACTCAGTCTAAGAACCACATATGAGGGAAAACATGCACTTTTGTCTTTCTGAGTTTGGGTCACCTGCTTCATACTACCCTATACAAATCCGTTTTCCTTCAGACTTCATGGTTTGGTTTTTCTTTACAACTAAATAAAGTCCATTGTGTGTGTGTGTGTGTGTGTGTGTGTGTGTGTGTGTGTGTGTGTGTGTGTCTATATATCTCATATTTTCATTATCTATTTGTTGATGCACCTCTGCGCTTGCTCTATTTTTTCTCTGTCGTACACCGCGACACGCAGAGGGTCGATCTCTCCACATTTTCATTATCCATTTGTTGATGGACATCTGGGCTGGTTCCATTTTTTTACTGTCTTGAACAGAGCAGCAGTAAGCAAGGATATGTAATTATAGGCCTGCCCTTGCTACAGGTTTAGGGTTCAAGCTGGCAATGTACATCTGTCTTAAAATTTCTGTGTCAAGAAGCTATTATGAAAAATGGTCCTCAGTCCCTAGATACCTGGAAGAAGCAAAAGCAAGACTGCCCTGGGGGATTTAGACCTCACAGAATTTCCTAGATAAAGCCCTTTCAGATTCAAAGATGTGAAGTACAAATTCAGCATGATCAATAGCAGGATTAGATCATCAGCTGTGTCAGTTAATAGACTGAGCTAAGCTAAGTTTGCCCAAAATGATTAAAGACATGAGTGGCACTGTGAAAATAGAACACAGATTTTTTTTTTCCTTGTCTTTTTGAGATAGGGTCTCCCTGTAGCCCCAGCTGGCCTGGAACTCACTACATAGACTAGGCTGGCCTCAAACTCAGAGATCTGCCTGCCTCTGCCTCCCAAGTGCTGGGATCAAAGGCATGTACCACCATGCCGGCTAGAACACAGATTTTTAAAAATACTTTTTTTTTTTTATTTTATGTGTATGAATGTATTGCCTGCATGTATGTAAGTGCATCCATGTCATGCAATGCCCAAGAAGGTAACTCCTGGAGCTGGAGTTACAGACAGTTGTTAGTTACCATGTGAGTGCTGGGAATTGAACCCAGGTCCTCTGAAAGAGTAGCCAGTGCTCTTAACTGCTGAGCCATCTCTCCAGCCCCCAGTTTTTGTTTTTTTTTTTTAAGAGCCATACAGTGCTTCAGAGAAGTGAAAAATACAATCATTGGCATTAAAAACACAATGAGCAGAATTAATCACAGATTAAAAGACACGTTCAGGGGCTGGAGAGATGTCTCGGCAGTTAAGAGCACTGACTGCTCTTACAAAGGCCCCGGGTTCAATCTCCAGCACCCACATGGAGGCTATGAACTGTCCTTGACTCCAGTTCCATGGAATCCGAAGCCCTCTTCTGACTTCTACGGCATTGCACGACACGGGTGCACTCACATGTATGCAGGAAATACACTCATACACATTTTAAAAAAATTAAAATAATAAAATATTTTAAAAGACATTCAGTGAACTGGGAGATTGGGGAAATGGCCTACAATCCAATATAGAGATGTGAAATGCAAAACATATATTGAGATGTCTAATAAGAATTCTAGGAAGAAAGAACACAGTATTTGGAGATATTATGACTGATTTTCTCTGAATTATTGAATGTTTTTTCAGGTACAAAAATGGTTTTTAAAACTTTCCTATGAACCACACCACAGAATTTAAGTTTTAAAACAGTATTAAACTGTAATCTCCTGACACAGTTGAGAATTATGGATTCTCAATTACATATGTGTGCCACAACATGTGGACTTTTATGTGGATGTTGGTGATCCAAAATCAGATCCTCATGCTTGCGGGGCCAGCACTTTCCTGACCAAGTCATCTCCCCAGTCCCTTTTTAGCTCATTTTATGATGTCTATATAACCCTAATAGCTGTACCAGAGAGAGTATGAAAGTGGAAAACTTTGAGTTAACTTCTTAACCTAGATATGAAATCTTCCAACAACATGTTACAGAGAAAAAGCTTCAAATTTTATAACCATATGCCATGACTATGGTGGTTTATCCCTGGAATGCAGAGCTTTTCAACTTTAGAAAATCCATTAGTGTCATTAACTCATTTAGTTTGTTAAAGCATACAATTTTCTCAATAGATGAAGAAAACAATTAGTAAATTTTTTCTTTGAAAATCTCATACACGTATATAACATATTTTGATCATACAAATACGATCGTACAAATACACCACCACCCTTTCATTAAAATATTTTAATGCTTTTTAAATTTTATGTGTATGAGTATATTGCCTGCATGTATGTAAGTGCACCCGAGTCATGTAGTGACTGCAGAGGCCAGAGGAGGGCATCAAATTCCCCTGGAACTGGAGTTACAGATGGTTGGTAGCTGCCATGTGGGTGCTGGGAACTGAACCTGGGTCCTCTGCAAGAGCAGTCAGTGCTCTTAACCACTGAGCCATTTCTTCAGCCCCTCATCACCACCCTTTTAATCTGATGAAAGTATATGGTTCAGAATTTGAAGCAAGCATTGTACATAATGATATTACTGTAGAAATGTTCACTTTAAATCAAGAATTAGATAGTTACTTTCCCCTCAGCATGTTAACCAGGATAGACAAGTGCAAAAACAAATAGTGTAACATTGAGAGGAGAAACGAAATTGTAGGCTTACTTCATGGCTGTCCGTGTGGAATATCCAAGTGACTTAATAAGTGACTTTAATAAGACATTATTAAACTTGTGTATTTTTTAGAAGAGCAAAACCAACAAAAATACATAAAACATTAATGAAAACAATTTTGTTTCTACAAGCCAGGAAATAGTAAGCTTTTTCTATAAAGGGCCACCTAGTATTTTAGGCTTTTACCTGATACCTACAGTTGCTGAAATACTTTTGTGTTTTCATTTATCTTCTTTCTTTAAAAAAAAAAAATGTAAAAATTGGGGCTGGAGAGATGGCTCAGCGGTTAAGAGCACTGACTGCTCTTGCAGAGGACCTGGGTTCGATTCCCAGCACCCAGATGGCAGCTGCAAACTGTCCTTAACTCCAGTTCAAGGGGAATCCGATGCCCTCTTCTGACCTCCATGGCATTGCACAACACAGGTGCACTCATAAACATGCAGGCAATACACTCATATACATAAAATAAAAATAAATAAAATATATATATTTTTTAAATGTAAAAATTATTCTTAGCTTCAGAATCAAACAGAAACAGTCTTAAAGGTAGAGGTGTCAAAGAACCATTGTTTGCTTTCCCCTGTTGGATACAGAAGGTATATGTGTTACACTCAGTTGCAACAGTGTGTGCGTGTGTGTGTGTGTGTGTGTGTGTGTGTGTGTGTGTGTTCCCACAAATGAATCCTAGCTACATGTATAGGCCTGGAAGGCAAACTATCCTAGTGAATAGAAAGTCTCAGATTCACACTGATTGTCCCTAAGGAATGGTTGAGATCATAATCACATACAATTAAATAGAATGTGCTACTGAAAAAAAAAGAAGAGGAGGAGTTTGGAAACGTTCTAAAATTATTCAGCAAGCACAAGAGACAAGAATAGTCTAGAGAGTTTTGAAGGATAAGTTGCCTTACTAGAAAGTATAGACTTCAAGGTTACAGGAAGGTGATTTTGAGACCGAAGTAGAATAACCAGTAGATGAAATAGAATTCTATAAATCTATGGCCAGTACATGCCACAGTGGCAGATCAGTGCAAAAGATTCCTACATTATAGGGAAATAAAATGAGATTGACGTTAACTAAAAGTACTTCATACCCTACATAAAAATAAATTCTAGGTAGATTAAAGGTTTAAATATGAAAAATAAAAATTTAAATTCAATCACCAATTTTAAAACTTTATGGACTACAAAAGTTACTGTAAGTGACAAAGATAGAATCTGGGAAAATATATTGCCAAAACACATAACTAAAATAGGAATGTTATAAATAACTTGTAAAGTCAACAAGAAAAAAAAAAAAAACCCAATAGGAAAAAGATACAAAATATAAAAAGGTGGAACTGGCAGGATGGCCTCAGTGGTTAAGAATACTGACTGCTCTTGCAGAGGACCCAGGTTCAGTTCCCAACACCCACTTTGTGGCTAACAACAGTCAGGAACTCCGGTACCAGGGGATCCAACACCCTCTTCTGGTCTCCATGGACATTTCTCACATGGGTGCACTTACATACATGCAAGGAAACACTCATACAAATAAAATTTTTAAAAAATAATAAATCAAGCTGGGCATGGTGGCGCACACCTTTAATCCCAATACTCAGAAGACAGAGGCAAGCAGGTCTCTGAGATTGAAGCCAACCTGGTCTACATAGCGAGTTCCAGGTCAGCTGGGACTACAGGGAGACCCTGTCACAAAAAAAAATTTTTTTAATTTTAAAAAGTAACTCAGAGATAGAAAACCCAGTAGCAAATAAGAGTCTGGAGCATACTGTCTTCATAAGTATCAGGGAACATTAAGATTAAAATGAGATATTTATTTTATACCCATGAGATTGGTATGTGTCAATACTCACTGATGCTAGTGAGGGCAAACAATTTGAAGCATGACTGAGTATAAATTAGTACAACTGTTTGAGATAAATTTGCAATATTTAATAAAGATGTATTCCTTCATCTCTCCATGACCTAGTGTTTTATTCCTAGATATTAGTACATAAAGGAAGTTTTGCATATGTGTCCAAGGAAACACAAGTCTGTTGCTTCATTATTGGAAATAAGAAAATTGGCAACAACATAAATATTAGTTATTGGAGCATTCCAATAATTATGAATAATTCCTTCCCTATAGTAAATTATAGGAGTTAAAATGAACAAATTTAAAACTGAATGCTTCAACATGGGTAAGTCTTAGAAACAAAGTTCAGTGGAATAAAAAGTCAGTTGTAGTCAGCAAAGTGGCTCCATGGGTAAAGGTGCTTGCTGCTGAGTCTGAGGATCTGAGTTTGATCCTTGGAACCCTCATGATGGAAGGAGAGAACCAGCTCCCAAGGGTTGCCCTCTGACCTCCACACATACACTGTGGCAAGTATGTGCCCTCCCCCAAGAGAATCAATAAATGTTTTTGAAAAAAATTTTTTTTCTATTTTTTAGAGAATTTTTGTGTATTTTATACAAAGCATCTTAAATCACTTTTTAAAAAAACCATATTAGGGTGGCTGGAGAGATATCTCAGCAGTTAAGAGCACTGGCTTTTCTTGCAGAAGGCCTGGTTCGAATCCCAGCACCCACATGGCAGCTAACAACTGTCTGTAACTCCAGTTCCAGGGGATCTGACACCCTCTTCTGTCCTCTGCTGGCATTGCATGACACAGGTGCATTTACATACATTGCAAGCAATACAAGCATACACATTGAAAATAATAATTTTCAAGAAATCATGTGAAAATCATATTTTAAAAGTAAATTGAAGCATGATGTGGATTATGAGATGACATTGATAAAAAATCAAGACATAAATAAATAGCATAGTTTAAAGATGAATGTTTATAGTTGGTGATATGGCACCATGATAGAACACTTGTCTAGCATACAGAAGGCCATCCTGGGAAAAGAAAAAATATACCAAAGGTATATTTAGTTAAACTATTAAAAGCCTGAATAGAAAAGATAAACATAAAATTTACCTTGGAGTTGGAGCAGAGTATTAGGGTTCAAAAATTAGAGTCAAAGAAAATCTAAAGGTTTTAACTGAATTTGGACTTTGAAAAAAATCTGAAATAAATATTGTAAAATAATAGGATGCAACAAAACTAGTTAGGAAACACATAGCTATTGATTATATCATTCTCTACACTTCTGATACACTTAAAATGTTTAATAACAAATGTGAAAATTAATACTACATTTTATAAGCAATGTGAAATGTGGCTTTTTCATTTCCATGATACCCCTGGCATTGCACTGCTGCTCAATGCTGCTCTCACACCCTTCAGCTGCTCCACGTGCATGGGATCTTCCTGGATTGCCACTACAACTGGGAGCTGGTGATCTGGTGCATCTCCTTGACACTATTTCTCTTAAGATTTGTGACTCTTGGATCAGAAACAAGTAAAAAATACAGCAATACCTCAATATTACTTACTGAACAGGTGAGTTTTTTAAGTTAATCTCTATAGTCTATATAAAATGTTTTGGGTGGAGTGGGGGTCAGAGGACAACTGAATGGTTTTCTCTCTCCACCTTGTATATTCTGGGGATCCAACTGAGGTCATCAGCCTTGGTATAAATGTCTTTACCCTCTGAGCCATCTTGCTAGCCCATCTACATGCTAATTTAAAACATTTTTACTTCGTGTTTTTCAGAAACATCTTTTGTTTGATTAATATCTGAAACCAAACCTAAAGTTTAATAAGACACAAGCCTTTCTTCAGTGTTCCTGCCTTGATTCAATTTTCAAATCTAGTAATCTAATCTACTCTTTTTATATTCCATTTTCACTTGACAAGAAGGAAGTAGTATTTATTAAAATGATAGATTTTAAGCCATTAGTGGGATATGTTTGCTTTGCAGTGTAGCAGAGCCACATTATAAGTATGAATTTTTATTCAGAAAGAATAAAGCATAATAATTTTGAGAATTGATTTCATCTTGTATGAATTTGCTATTTCCCCTCCATCTTTTTTATATAAAGGTTTGCTAATAATCTTGTTTGAATATTTTAGTTAGAAATGACTTGATTTTTAAAGATTCAGTTACCTTGCTAAATAAGCTCAATTACATGGGAAAGGGAGTTACCACTAAAGATAATCCTCTCTGACAATCTTTGAGCCTCATGGAATTGAGCAGTCAGCTTCTTCCTCAGACTCTACAGCTGGTGATTTCTCAGTGCTCTTCACTACACCTTCTGTCCAGCATCCTGTGTGAAGACTTACTACCCTATAATGTTAGTTTGCATGTGGTTTGGGTTTTCCTTAGTATGACTTCTGCCCTTGATGGTACCAACTCTTCACTTCATGGTATCTAGAACATCTGGAAGATGTTGCTAGTCCCACTAGATCTTGTATTAACTATTGGCTTTGGTTGGGGTTGTGGCAAGTTGAAGTGGGAAGGTGGATCAAGTGGGTAAGTGTAGTGGTCATAAAATGTTTCTTACACAGACTTAGAGCATTTTCAAAGAAGAGAACAGATCTGAGCAAGTACCCCCAAATTAGAGAGTGAGAAATAACGATACGCAAATACTGGGGCTGGAGAGATCACTCAGCAGTTAAGAGCACTGGCTGCTCTTGCGGAGGACCCAGATTTGATTCCCAGCACACACCGTGGCTAACAATTGTCTGTAACTCCAATTCCAGGGGATCTGACGCCCTTTTCTGACCCCCATAGGCATTGCATGACACGGGTATGCTTACATACATGCAGACAATACACTCATACACATACAATAAAAATAATAAAATATTTAAGAAATAAAGATGTGCAGATACTTTAATCACTGTCAGAATTAAAAAGTCTTGGGCCACTTGGTTTAAGTTTATTCTGTTATTTATTCTTTATGTAGATTTGGCCCTGAGAATTCAATGTTTTCCTTTTTTTGTTTTGGCTTTTGATTACATTAAAAAAGTATTTAAATGACATTTTTCTAAGTGTATTATAAAAGTTGGATTGTATAATAAGGTGTAAATATTAAAATCATCTGTAATCATAATACCGAGGACCATCATTAATATTTTCATGATTATCTTTCAGATCTTTTTTTTTCAGTTATTTAATAGCCACATACTTAGAAGAAGCATTTCATTACAACAGCATTGACATATTCAATAATAGTTTCCAGAGCTAAGATGCATCTCTTTCAAAATTGGCTGTAAATTTTTAGGTTTACAGTTGAATTATTACAGTTATACAATATTGTACTCAGTATAAACCCTATAAGACATAAAATTGAATGAGTTTTTAACCTTTAAAAAAGATCTCCATTTCATTATTAAAATACACAGTTTTATACAGAAAAATTCATTTTTAATGCAATTGACATTAAGATGTTTGTGCATGCGTTTCTAATCTCTTCATATCTGATTATTACTAGTCAGAGTTGGTTACTTTCTGAGCTCCTTGGCGTCTGAGCATGGATATAAAGTCATCAGGTAGATTTCAATAGTAATGTTTTTCACATCTACTAATTATTAAGGAGCAAATTTTTATGCTTTGAAGAATTATTTTTCTTCTTT